CAAAATAGACTACCGTGAATTATACGTGGAAACATCCCAATAATGCAGACACTCGATTTCTTTATAATTTTGAAACTCATCGCACCACGTGTCCACTTTATGAATGGATGCCAACATAACATAAAAAAATATGAAATGGATTTCAGTACTCGCCGAGCTAGGAAATACGTAACTACATATATATATATATTGTACGTCAACATATTATTTTTAAGGTTTGGTCTAAAATAGTAATTACTAATTATAAGATCAGTCTTCAAAATCACCAAAAGAATTCAAACATAACACAGGACGCTAGGAAGTCATAATGAAAAGGCGCTAATCTACAGTGATTTAAAATTTATTAATAATTCCATTAATTAACAATAGTTAAAAGTCTTATTAAATAATAATTAAAAGATACAATAGAAAATTCGGATGAGTTATAAAACATTGCATATATTTTAAGATATTATGACGCTATAACAGACGAATGATATTTTATAAAAAGGCTTGTCGACGCTTTATTTTACTTTGACCTTGACATCTTTGTACACAACAAGGTCAATATTATGGTTCATGATTCTACATAAATTGATAGATATTAAAAACTTTATATATCACATTAAAAGTATAAAAGCTTAATCTAAATTAATTCGTTGTATATTGCTGCATAATTCTTTGTGTATTCGTAATTAATTTGGAATTAGAGTTAACAGAAATCTCCTTCGTTGAGAGGCTCGTCTTCCTTCTTATCGTATACCAGAGTTTTGTAAATAACCTCTTCGAAATGCAACGCGTTCAATCCTTTAGGTTCAGCCACTTTTATCTTAACGTCGCCTGGATATAAGATTTCACCTTTGTTTTTCGTACTACCCATAACTAACGACTTTTGAAGTTTATCAATGCATGGTATTTCTGTAATAAAAATATTTTTTATCTTAGTAATATTATAAATTCGAATGTTCAGATGGATGGATGTTTCTTTGAAGGTATCTTCAGAACGTAAATTTGGCATACATATAGAACATAGTCTGGAAGAACACATAGACAACTATGTTTTTTTTTAATTCCTCGCGGAAGGAGTTGCGTTGCGGGCGACATCTAGTTTTACATATTGGAAAATGAACAAACTAAACGACTACGAACACAATAATTGAAAAAAGTGTAACCGTTTAAGAAAAGGTAAATATGGCTTTTTAATATCAATTCCTTTATAGAACAAATACTACAAATTCCTTTCAGAATTAACTAATATGTCGTCATGTGTTTTGTTAAAAAGATAATGTCAATATTAGATAAAGATAAATGTAATGTGTAAATAAAATTATCACTGACATGATAAGTTTAAAAAAAAAGTGAAGCTAACATAGTTACTGATAGAACATGGACCTTTTAAGTTAAGAAACGAAAACAAGCAATAGAAAACTTTTTCACTTGTTAATAGCTAATTAAGGTTTGGAATAGTTCTCATTATGTTAACGGCATTTTTTGACCCTGATGAAATTGACCTTGAATCATTATCATCGTTGATTATAAAAAAAACAGTTTAACAGTGGTAAAGCCCGCTTTAACATCTTCGCACGAATTGTCCCGGCTCGCCCGGTGATATACCACGATCACACAGAAGATGCGTGAAGTGGAAGTAATTCTGCGTCTCGTCTGATGAGTGTGCGTCCCGGTGGTCTAATTTAATCTTCTTTCCCTTCCCACCCTTTTTCTTATAAGGAAAGGATGGGAAGTGGAAGTGGACTTTCCGGATGAGAGGATGCATGGAAAGGGAAGATATTTTCTTTCTGTGCATCCTCTCCTCCGTTGATTTAAGGTAGGCAACGCATATGCAATTGCATATGTCTATGGGCAACGGTCACTTCGCTATTTCAGCGATTTCAGGTCGCCGCTCGCTCGTTTGCCACCTTATGGTATAAAAAAAACAGGTTTTTATGCGAGGCGTAATGCAATTACCTGAAGTGACAACTTTCTTAATAGGGTTCCCTAATGCAGCTTCTATGACTCTGACGTCACGCACCAGCTGCTGGAACTCTGTGGGTGTGAGCGAGCACACGTGGTCAGTTCCCTTCATCGACTTGTCCAGTGTTATATGCTTCTCCAACACCTGCAAATATTAAGAAGCTATAGAGCTTCCTGTACAAGTAAAATGTTTCATTATTAAAACATACCAATTTTTGTTCAACACAATTTGACTTTTACATTAATTTAACAAGAAAAACGAAATCTCCTGATTTTATATTTTAAACCGATCACAAATAATTAAATAGCTTTGTCTCCTATAACTGTGATCTAGTAAAGAAAGAATCCATCAAGTACAAGATCTATGGTCCATTTGATAACTTATCTATAATATATTCTGTTTAGTGTAATTTTACTAATATTATAAATGCGAATGTTTGGATGAATAGATGGATGTTTGTAAGTAGGTAGGTATCTCTAGAACTGCTGCATGAATGTCGCTGGAATTTAATATAGCATAGATACAGAAAATAGCCTGCAAGAACACTTAAGCTAATTACACATAAACTAATTAAGTTTTTGTTTTAAATCAGCCCCGATTGAGTCGCGGGCAAAAGCTATTCTAATATACAAATGAGTGAAATGTCAACCTTAGCGCCGAGTGCGACAGCGCCCAATGCCACTGCGGTGCCGAGTTCTTGTCCGGAATACCCCACAGGTACATCAAAAGAGTTCATGTAGTCTTGTAGAACTGTTAAATTGCAATCCTCGAAGGGTACAGGGTAAGCAGAGATACAATGCAGAAGACAGAACTGCTTGTGCTGAGCCGATATTATATCGTAAATAGTTTTGACAGCCTTTTTATCCACCATTCCAGTTGATATGATCAAGGGGACCTTCTTCGACGCAGCGTATTTCAAGAACAACGAATTGTTCGAGTCACCTGAACTTATCTTGATAAAGGGTACTTTGATGTTGACAAGAAAGTCGAATGACACCTGAAAATAAATTTTATTTTGCGATAAATTTATTTATAGATAATTTTATGACTGTTTTTTAAATTATCGAAGTGGAAATACCAATACTTTATATTACTATTTCAGGTTATTACTTTACGAACGTGAAAGATGTTTGAGCCGGTGACGTACATCGGACACTAATTTTAGCGTATCTTCTTATGTTTACTCAGAATCCGGATGCGTGAATTTGCAACATGTGATATAAAAGTGACTTGCTGACGTGTTATATTCCTTTCTACCTATAGGTTTAATATGCAATTTTTTGTTGTGTCTAGTCTTAAGAGTACACGCGTTATGGAGTTATGAAACACGAGTCCATAAGCTATAAAACGTGATTTAACAAAGGGTATTGCATTGTTATGTCTTATTTTGCATAATTACATTCTGTATGGAACTTCATTGTTACAAGAGGGCATAAAGATTATGTAGTATTATGTGAAAATTTGTCTATGGTTTGTACATTAACTAGATTTTAAAACATTCATAAATTCATGAATTGTACGATAATAGTTTGAAAGTACCAATATGTATATTTTTGTTCTTCAGTTAGTCACTATAATATAAACACTATATTACTTATCTTACTAATATTATAAAAGCGAAAGTTTAGATGGATGAATGGATGGTTATTTAAAGGTATCTCCGGAACAACTCAACCGATCTTGATGAAATTTGGCCCAGATGTAAAACTCCGCGCAGACGGAGTCTCGGGCAACAATAAGTAGATAATAATGAGCTACTTACCATATCCATTGCTGATGCGGTGAACAGTATTCCGATCTCCTGCGCATATTTAAACAATTCTCTGTACTGCGCCTCTGTGAATTCAAGATGCGTCTTATGTTCGCCGTAAGTTTTGCCCCATGAATTGGGATTGTCATATGGCCTTTCCAAATACTTCGATGTGAATTTCTCTTTGAGACATGTCTTTTGAAATTTAACACAACTCGCACCCGAATCCTGTAATATATTACATATTATTTTATTTTTAAATCAGATATTAAAGTTTATTCTTTAGATTTTAAAGAACAATGTAAATTAAATTGTAAGTAATACAGACTATTAAAATTTATGAAGCAAAAACAAGTCGTAACAGTAAGGTGAACTTATAGAATAGAATGATACTATTGAAAAACATTTATTCTAATCGAAAACAATTGTTTATGAATAAAAAATGATACAAGTGGTAGAAAATTAAAATTGGTAATCTCTGTTCTTGGTAACAAATGCGATTATTTATTTGTGTTATGTATTTCATGAGTAAATAATCTCCAACTGGTATATAAAGTTATAAAAACAAATGATAACTTTAATTACATTGCAACTTGCTATTTACTTATTGCTTTGTAAACATAATTGCCGATAATTGAACAAAGATAAAGTTGTTTGCTGGTAAAAGAAATTGAGTTTTATGTTTTTTAAGGCGTTCTGATATATGTCAGGAATTTTTAGCATAGAGTCCTGAACATATACAAAATAACCAGGACTAGTGTTCTCAAGAACAGTATTAAAAAGGGTCATTGTACTTAATATTATATTATACGAGTAATACATTGTTATAAAATCTGCTAAATTTATTATTAACTTGTAATTACAGTACAGTTATTTCAAATTCAAAGAATGAGTCGACACATTCAAAGCAAGTACATATGCATATTGTTTTCGTTTGTTGTTGTAAAGTAAGGCTTAAAAGTGAAAGTATTTGTAAATATAGCTAGTAGTAAGCTACTATTTTATAAACAGATACATGTTAAATTATGCGGGTAGGTTCCTATACTATCAATAATTAGACTGCTTGTATACGTAACGAGGATAAAGAATCTCTTTGTTTTGTTCTAGCAATAATAACAAAGCGTCACTAACCTAAAACATTACCAATTTACAAATACTCTAATAATAAAATAGTACTGACCTTGGCTGCTTTTATCAATTTTTTCGCTATTTCAATGTCACCTTGATGATTTTGTCCGACTTCTGCTATAATAAAACACGGATTGTCGCCGCCTACTTTGATATCTTCCGTAATCTTCACTACGACCATGTTGTCAGCTGTTGAATTTGTTCCATAAAAAATAAACAAGTCGATACGGGTAGGAGAGGTGAACTAGTACTGACACTGCGTGTAGGTATATACGTAAGGTTTATCGACCTCCCGCTCAGGATTGGATTGTGTAAATAAGGTCGATTCAATATAAAAGCGGGCTCTGTGTCTCGCGGCCGATACACTATTGCGCGCGCGCCTTGCCTGCGCCGCTTGCCTGCTCGTGCCGCCGCGCCCGCCCGCGACGCGACGCCTGATAAATGATAAAACCAGTATGCCCGCTGTCCGCTGCTACCAACAAGTACCTCATAAGGCCCGTCGATTAGTCAATAGCGTGATAAAGTATTAAAACAATACATTAACGAGACGTAAACATTTCCCTTAACTGATGCTTGGTATCGTCTTCTTTAGTATACTTGCTTTTAATATACGTATAGTTAGGTGTAGATGTAAATTGGGGCTAAATTTTAATTCCGAGGCTTAAACTCATGACATACACGATTTTGCTTAAAACTGTTATTCTATGATACTAAGTCGCTTCTCTTTATGTAGATTATCGATCATGTTTGAACAATTTGAGTACAAAACATAATGTACTCATATAAATGTAAGTAGAAAAGCAATGTTTTAGTACAGTGAACAGCAAAACGAGTTTGTTAAAGATATCGATGGCGTCATAACTTAACATACAAGTGAGCGAATGTTGCACGCACGTACAATGATGTACGAAGTATTAATGACCATATGGAGAAGCAAAATTTAAATAACGTAATCATTAATGCTCATAGTTAGTGGACTACCAAAAACAATCAATTCGTATAAAACATAGTTTTAGACATTATTCGTTAGGATCCTTTGGCGCGAATAACGTGCTTTCATTACGAATTCCAGTGTCAGAATTATTAGTGAGGGGACATAAACGTCGACGTTTTAGTAAGGCTAGTGTTGTGCCAGTACACCGGCACAGTGTCGGTTTTCTTCCTAACAATAGTGAGTTGCATTAGGCTGACCTCATACGCCAATAGGGTAAAAAATACATAAAATAAATACAGATTTTAGTATCTTATTCTGCTCTTCTGATACCATGTGCAATTACTAATATGATAAGCAAAGTAAAAACATAAAATTTTATTTAAAGTGAATACCATGTCTAATGTTTGTAAACAAGTCAATATTATTCCAGTAACATCGACGTGCATTAAAAAAGGGCGGTTAAAAGCGGATTTAAGTGATGTCATTTGTATGATAAGCAAACGAACATGTAAACAGTTTTGAAATCAAATGAACAAATATCGATAACAACTTATTTACTTAAAATGAAAAAATTAAACTTTGTGTACTAATCGTCTCAAGTAAGTCTCAAGATTGAGTTATGCGTCACGTTTACTTGCAATAAATTTTTGATAAAAAATAATAAAACATATTGATAAAAATTGTTCAGCACAACCAAAAAGTCTGCTTGGTCAAATTGTAAATTTAATTTTGATACACCTAGATTTGTCGTCCAATTTTAGTTACTACTTTAGTTCACCTGAACGTTTGATGTTCATCAGGAGACGGCAACAGGAGTCACAAACTTTTATCAGTTGAAAAATAGCTAAGTTAATTACCGAAAAAATGTATCATTTTTGCAGAAGTTCGAAGCATCACTTCCAAAGAACGCACTGCTAGAACTAACTGCTGTAATTCCGATGGTACCAGAGAACATTGATGATCCGTGCCTTTCATGCTTCTGTCTAAAGTTATATGCTTCTCTATTACCTACATGGAAAAGAAAAACCACCCTTAGAATTTGGATTATTTTACTTTATACTTACTTAGTAAAAGGTGTTCGAAATAAAAAAAAATTATAAAAAGAAATACGTACCTTAGCTCCTAAAGCAACAGCAGCTATAACGACCTTTATTCCCAGCTCATGACCAGAGTAACCCACAGGAACATCGTAACAATTCCTATAATCTTGGAGGACTCTTAGATTACAGTCTTCGTAAGGCGTAGGATACGCGGACACACAATGTAGTAAGCAGAAATGTTTATGTTGTGTTGATATTATATCATAGATGGATGTCACAGTCGCTTTATCTATCATTCCCGTAGAAACTATGAGTGGAATCTTCTTGGTCGCAGCGTATTTTATGTAAAGAAGATTGTTGGAGTCTCCGGACCCTATCTTTATGAATGGGACTTTCAGGTTGAGTAAAAAGTCAAAAGATTCCTAAAACAATAAGTTACATCTAGATATTTTATATGAAGACTAGTTACTGCAATCAACGGTACTAAAGACATGCGATAATATTGAAAGTTTCGGTTAAACTATAAAAGAAACGAAGACAAAGTCTATTGAGTTATAAAAAATAAATAGTGTATAGTACCATATCCATCGCAGAGGCTGTAAACATAATATCAAGATCTTGTGCATATTTTAACAAGACTCTGTATTCGTCTTCGGAAAATTCTAAATATCGTTTGTGTTCGCCGTACGTGGATCCCCATGAGTTGATGTTGTTATACGGTTGTTCTAACCGTTGTTTTGTAAACTTATCTTTAAGACTACTCTTTTGAAACTTAACGCAATCTGCACCAGCTTCCTGTAATTATGAAATGTGTTATTAACTTTCTGTATTAAAATGCGATGAACTGTTATAATTTAGCCAATATGCAAGGTACAACCCATCCAAAAATGTCTAGTAGGCGTTTTGGTTTTTGAATAGAGCTCATTTTAGTAAACTTTGATTAACTCGGACTCTAGATCTAAATTTTATATAAAAACTTAATAATATAATATAAATGCGAAAATTTAGATGCATGAATGGATGTTTGTTTGAAGGTATCTCTAGAACTACTGAACTGATAACGAAGAAATTTGGCATGAATGTAAAACATAGTCTGGAAGAAGACGTAGACTAATAAGTTTTTTTTTAAATCCTCGCGGACGGAGTCGCGGGCAACAGCTACTGTTTTAAATAAAACTTCAACCAGTAAGTTAAGGTTTAATTAAGTGTAATTGAAATCATAATTGATGGAGGGTTCTTAATGCAAGTTAACTGAGCTATTAAGAAAATGTTCCGGCATTTTGAATAAGAATCGTTTAAATTCAAACTTACCTTAGCCGCTTTTATCAGTTTTTTTGCAATTTCAATGTCACCTTGATGATTTTGTCCAATTTCAGCGATAATAAAACACGAATTGTTACCACCGATTTTAACATTGTTTCGTAAAATTATTGTACTCATATTAAATTTCTAAACGTCTTTAATATTGATCCCGATAAAATGACCGTTGAAATAACGCAGTCGTTCGAATTCGTGTTTGAAGGTCGAATTAATTTTTCGGGCACTGCATGTGTAGGGCTCAATTTAACTCAATAGAATAGTACTTAGGGTCACCATCATTTGATATATCTTTTGTGGGACATTCCTGGATTTCATTTTGACGTGACTGTTTTATGCAATACTTGAGTAAGTATAGTTAAACGCTTTAATTTTGAGCACATTATCAAAACAAGAGTATTGTAATTAAACTGAGTAATAATTAATGGCGTTCTTAACTTTTTTCTTTTCTTTAATAACTCCCGTGCATGTAATTCGAACAGAAATGAAATCTTTAATCATAGTTATTGATCTAAAGATTGAAAAATATCTTTTTTACAACGGTATTAAACAAATGAGAAATCATTTATAAATTGATAGATTTATTATACACTTTGTACATCGACATTCACATTTACAAACGTCAATTTAATTGACTGTACATGCAGCTATTTTAACAATGTCTGAATGGTTCTTAAATCTATCACTTAAAGCACGATTCACTCTAGACTCGGTCATCTTTCCTAGGAAGTTTGAAATATAACGACCTGCTTCGATCAATTTGACCAAATCAATGTCTGTGTTAACTCCAAGGCCATATAAAAAGTATACTAAGTCCTCTGTTGCTAGGTTTCCTGTGGCCCCTCGGGCGTAAGGACACCCCCCAAGACCTGATATTGATGAATCCACAGTTTTGATTCCGAACTGTAACAAATAGTGCCTTTAATATATGGTGTAGAGTGTCCACGACGGTGTCAAAAAAAAAATTTAAACGAACGCCAACATTTCAAAATTGCGTGTTAGGACGGGAGGCAAAAGCCCGCGAAATATTATTAAAATATTTACTGTTCAAAGATAAATAGTGAAATCAAAGGAAAAACCATTATAATTAGTGAGGTAATCAACATATAAAAATAACACTAAAATCATTGAGTAATAAAATAAAAATAATGAGATGAAATTCGCTAAATTGCATCGCATCGCAAAATGTTGTTATTCTTCCTTTCAGCATTAAAAACTCTTTAGTTATTGCGGATATTAATAGCTGGAAATAACTAATAAACTTCCGCCTGTTCGTTTGCGCGTTATAAAAGAAGTATTTATCTAAATCACAATGTAAAAAATACTTTGTTAATAAAAAGGAAATAGGAAAAAGTTTCACAATACTATTCTTTACGCTTCCTACTTCCGAAATATCTAACTAAATCATTGATCCTAGGGATATTTTCTAGTAATATAATTTTTTGCATTGTAACTTTGATTAAAAACATTAAAAAAAAATTAAAAGAAGCCTTGTCAGTAAAGTTTGATTTTTACATTTGAAATGTTGATTCATCGTTTGTTAATGGAATAGCATCCTATCTGTTATCATGATAAAAGATATGTAACTATAAGAATATTTTCTTTTGGGACTTATCTTTATTATTATATAACATTTAGAATTTATTCTACAAATGTTACTTTAGACTATTTTTTTGTTGAAACAAGTGACATAATAAAGATATGAGAAAAGAGTAAAGTTAACACCAAATTATTATGTATAATCTTTAGATCATATGTATATAAAAAGTACTAAATAACCATTATTTTGTTATAAAAAAATAAACGAAACTTACTTCTAACCCAGCAAGTAAATTTGAAAGACCTTGACCGTAAGTGTCATGGAAATGCAACGCTAAGTTTTCTGGCTTGGCAACATTGAGCACTTCACGCATCAGTCTTTGCACTGAGCCGGCAGTGCCCACTCCTATTGTATCCCCTAGGGATACTTCATAACAACCCATTGCAAACAATTCTTCTGTTATCTATAAATGTAAAATGTAGTATATAAGGGTTTTTAATATCAAACTTATTCGACAACTGACAATATATATTCTATTTGGAAATCATAATTCTATACCTCACCTTGGCTATACCTTTAGGATGAATGGGACCATCATATGGACATCCTACAACACAAGATATGTAGCCCCGAACTCTTAAACCATCTTTAATAGCCTGAACAGCTACTTCTTTAAACCTTTTTAAGCCTTCTTCAACTGAGCAGTTCAGATTTTTCTGTGAAAATCCTTCCGATCCAGCAGGAAATATGGCAACTTCTTCAATATTACATTTCATCTGTAATTTATTTACAAGGTATAAGTTTTGATAATAAAAGCATTATGGTATATATAGCAAATAATATATTAGTAGTATCCTTTCTAGGTAAGAAATGTATTACAGATACCTCTAATAAAATTCCCAATAGCTTGTTTGTAATAACTAACAAATATTAATATTATTCTAATAAATTACTAAACAAAATATAGGGAAAAGGTTATTATAATTCTTCACTTACAGCCGTCTCATAGCCTTTTAAATTGGGTATCAGTACTGGATAGTTTACTCCAGGACTTCTTTTGATAGTTTTCATTACATCAGTACCATCACTCATTTGTTTAACCCATTTTGGACTTACAAAACTGTAATGATCAAAACTATAAGTTATGTACAAGGCAATTTAAAAAAAACTTAGTTTTTTTGTAATTGTGAATACTACACCTTGCAGATTCAATATTTTTGATGCCAGCTGCAGCAAGTTTATGTATAAGTTCCACTTTCACATCAGTTGGAACAAATTTGGACTCATTTTGTAAGCCATCTCGAGGTCCAACTTCGTAAATTCTTATATCGGACACAGTACTCTGTAAACATGAGATTTTATGTGTTTAGTTATAATATTTTTAAAAACCTTACACATGTCGTCAAGGAAAAGTTAAATTAAGATACAAATAGATTAATAACTTTTAAATATTATATTTGTCATTAAAATACTTACCAGTGTTCGAATGTAACAAAGTTCGTTTTTTAGTTTTAATTTAAGGGCTCTATTTACTGAATGCATTTTTTAAACGTACACTTTCTAAAACTTCTGTCTATTCTATCAAAAACGAGTTTGCTCTCGGCGTAATAATATGCAAATAAAACTACTCGCCAGTCTTACAAGATCGTATTTACAAAACATTTCTTATCAAAGACTGGTTTTTGATAATGATAACAAACTTCAAAACTTCAAATTCAAACTTCATCGCACAACACGAAGATAGCTTTACCTACCTACATTTTTACTTTTAATTTCCGTTAAAGTTAATTACAATAATAAACAAAAAACAATAGATGATCAAAGACAGAAAAAGAATTCTTCGTACTGGCTGGAAATCGCAACCAAATGCAACGAAACATAAACTAGGAAAGTTATAAAAAAGCCAATGGCAAGGTGAAATGGTTGTCAGATTTCGTGATTTTGTTGCCAGTTGTTGTCACTTTGTCAGTAGTTGTCAGTTGTCACTGTCATATTAATGCTTATGGGATTTTGAGATTTATTGGTTATTTTGCCGGTAAATAAAGAATATTTGTTGATTGCAAACATCGAATTAAATTTGAAATAATGGGTAATTGACTTTTTAATTAACTACAGCTTAAAGTACATTGCGAATTGTTTATATTAAAATGTGTTAAAATGTTTTAGCGGTAAACAGTGCCACGTCCTTCGTTTTATCCAGCATCCTCACATTGTTGATATTTTCTGGGATGCAAATGTATAAACCACTTCTAGTAAGGTCGCCGATCACAATTATATTTGGAGGTTACCTTGGTTCCCTGATGTTCTTATTTTTTGTAACAGTATCCTTTTTTAGTATTTTTGTTGGTGTTTACTTATCTTAACTTTCAAGTGCAATTTTCAATAATTTTATGTATTATAGAAATTGACATAAGTAACTAGAGCAGAATAAGATCCTTAATGGTTTATTCAGGCAGTAGGAAACTTAGAAGCTACATTATTTGGTAAGAACTTTCAATTGAAGCTGCCAGAAATTGTACTATCCATGGCAATATCACTTATTGCAGCGGGTATGGTGCATCGGATTTGCTTCACAACATGGTAAGTTATTTTTTTTTCTTAAATGATTATGGAATGGAGGAAGGGATTGATAGAACAATCTTTTAGTTGTCAATTTATTAAGTCTGAATCTAAACTGTCCAATTGTACTGTAGCAAAGTTATTGCATTTTGTCAGTGTAATTTTGAAGATCATAATGTGTTGTTTAAGGTATTGGTATAAATCTCTATATTATGGCAAGTTTTTGTCAAATATTTTACACAGAACCTGGGAAAATGACTATATAGATGTTTTAATTTAGGTTAATGTGATTTTTCTATATTAATGTATGTAAAATTCTTTCTTTTTTCAGTTTGATATTTTCACTCATGACCATCTACTACATGAACAAGCTGTCACAGAAAACATATGCAGCAGTAGCCCCAGTTGCTGCCCCAACCAAGTCTCGTAGACATAAATGAAATATTTTATTTCTATGTATTTTCTTTTAATTTTTATAATGATAGAATAAAGTCACAATTCCAGAAGTTCTTTTTATAATTTTAATAAAATTATTATTTTTAAATGAGATTTTTAAACTTATTACTTTGTATATCTTTGTAGGTTCAGTGGAGGTAGAAATTAATAACAATTTTTCTAAAGTAAAATATATGTGTTGATTTATTGTATGCGAGGTATCTCACAAAAGAATTAATACTGAAAAAAAAAACTACATGTAAAGTTATTCTGTCAACATAGCTAAAGATTTAAACAATTTTGCAAGCAAGCATATAAATAGTTTAATCTTTTATGAATCACAAATTGAGACATTTGTTATCTTATCTTTTTTACAAATGATAGAATGAATAATATATATTCTTTAAACTACAACAAAATGCCATTTAATTTAATACCTACTAATAAAGTTCTTCCAGACTGTTCTATATGTATGGCAAATTTCATTGAGATCCGTTCAGTTATTCTATAGAAGCATGCAAACATTCATCCATCCAAAGATTCACATTCATAATATTAGTAACATAAGATTACCTGGGATTAAAGAGGCAAACATTTGATAGAATATTTAGCCTTTGTCACAAAAAATGTGCAGTGCAAAATATTAAAATTTAGTACATAAGCCATTGACATGGCCTCGGAAATAAGAATTTTGTGTTGGATATGTTACGGCAAGGATAACTACTTATCAAGCACATGTTGTCATCATTGATCATTATCGTTATCTTTAACGCGATTGAGATATTTCCTTCAGTCGACAAAAATTTGCATTATTCAGAAAATTTATTTACCATACAACGGGTATGTCTTAAGGTACGCGTCTATTGGCTCGCACCTGACGAACTGTACACACGGATTAAACAGATTTGATGTCTTTCGATGCGGACGGCGCGGATGATGGACGCTGAGCTTTTTAGAATCATACAAAGCAAACTAAAATCGGGTGCGAGCCTTGCTTGCCTTAAATGTATAAGCTGTTTTTTTGTGATCTAGGACCTCCTATAGGAGTATGTAAGGGTGCCTAATTTGCAATTGCAGATCTGTGGCACCCCTTACACTCATGACCATCTACTACTTGAACCAACTCCGTGATCGGTCGTCCAACCGCGCCACCCTAATGTTAGCTCTGTCTGAAACAATCCGCTCTTGCTGCTTGGGCGGACAGTAGGCGTTTTCTACACATTAAAAAAGGACCTCCTATAACTTACATGTATATCAAGTGAGGTGTCCTTAGGGGTACAATCAGTCGGTATATTTTATTGTTTGTTTATTACATTTACTCACATGGCAAAAAAAATGAAAAAAAAGGTTTTATTATTATATTTATTTTATTATTTATTTTTACATAAAGAATGGTTTATTGTTGTACTTGCAAATGTTTCGCAATTAATCTGCATTAATGCCGGTACGACTTCATTCTTTTAAAAACCTGTTCGCACGAACCGGTAGGATGCCTCCGCTGAATCACAGCATAATACCCTTGCAATAACTTTCACAGCCATTGTATTCGAGTATTACAAAAAAGATTAGCTATGGACAAAAATAGGATTTAAAATTCTGCGTAGAATTTTAACTAGAGACGTTGTGATGCAAAATTGGCTACTCAATTGAGAGTTAAGGCTGTCGAAACATAACAAAACGATGTTATCTCAGTTTTTTTAAAATAAGAATTACAAATAGTCTATTGCTAGGTCTTTGTCTATTCAAAGTACATGCACCCGTAGATGTAAAAACCGCAAGAATTTCGTATCTGCTTATCCCACTTGACTAAAATCGGCCTCCTGTTGACAAATTGTAGCAAATTTAATTTATTCTGGTTTTTAGCAACAGTAAAATAGGAAGCGAATTATGTAGCAATTCAACCGTATGTATATCTATTCGACCTATTGCTTTATTCCAATGATGTATGACAGAAATTGATACATGTACATGCGCTCAATTGAATATTCGCTCACTGATGTTCCTCACTCGGCCTCTTGCTTATGCAATGAGTGTCAAGGGTCACATGAAATGTCAACCAATTATTACTAGACTGGGGAATTGCTGCTATTAGTTTATAATGAAACGATTGTTCGTTTAATTGAATTACGAATACGTATTTATTTTTTCACTTTGTCGGAATGAGTCCCGACATAATGTTAAGATTATAGCTTTCAAGTCATGGGAGTTTTTATAGCTATGGTATAGCTTTATCGTGAGTTTTCACAATGTAGAAAAACATGTTTTCAATTTCATTCTCTTTGAACATAAAACAGATATGGGTTTCGGCAATGGAATGTCATGATTTCATCATTTATTCACCATGGCGTTTATTTTTTGTTACGTTATTTAAATATTTATATAAGTATCTTAACAAATATTGATGTAATTCAAATCATAACTTCAATTGAGAGTAAAATGCAATATTTTTAAACATATATTCTTGATGTTCTTAAAAGGAATAATCTTTAAAAGAAAATAATATTGTTAATCAAAGTTTATTTATTAACACTCAATCAATCAATGAATATAAACATACTTTACTCTTAACTATTAGATACATGAACTAAATAATTTAAGAGTTAGTAGTTTAATTGTTAATAAAAAATAAGTTCAAAATCAAACAATTGATGGTTAATGAAAAATGGTAAAGGAAGTAAATAAAATCAATTTTAGTATTTAAATGAAATAAAAAATAAATAAACACTAAACAAATCTTTGAATTACAAGTAAGGCTTATAGTATCCTATTTCTAAAATTACAATTTATCAACTCACTCAGTGGAGAATATAATCAAGGTTACATTGTTCAATATGCAACCATAAATATAATAGTTGTGTGATTCTCACTGCAGTCCAAGTCTTAAAAAGGTCAGAGAGCCCAGTGCTCAGCTGTGTGTATTGGTGAACATAAGTGTAAGTGAAGGAAGATTAAAAATCATCGATGTTTTTTGCTGACTGCACTGAAATAACACAACTACATAAGAATAATAACACTAATATAAATTTAAGTAAATAAAGGCTTGTTCATCTAGTACCAAAGTAATATGAACTTTTTCTCCATGTTTCAGACATAACAACTTGGACCTTGATATGTATTACACCTAAATTGCCTTTCATTAATAAATGAGATGTATAATTACTTATGAGCTAATTCATATTGCACATATTATGAAGTAATTTGAAACTCAGTTTTGTCTATGAAATAGCTACATTTTTTGTAAAAAAGTTATATAAACAATAATAATGGTCAACTCTTTTAAACCGGTATGTCTATGGTTTATTACATGACTCGTTAAGAGTTTTCATTATAAGTGAATCACTAAACACATGATTCACCCACTCATATTTATGTAACTGATCGATTGTGAATGTCGTCTGTTTGTAATTCGCCCAGACAAATTGAAAGAGTCACCTAAATACTTCAATACTGCCCAAAACTTATTTAGCAAAGGTTCACTGTAGTTATAAAAATGATAAAGTATATATACATTCATAAAATATATGCAATGCAATAATAGTATTTCACAAATCAACTAATAGTTTTCTATATTTAGATATTAATAATTGTGACACACATATGGTTTCCAGTTTGCTTTTCTTTTTGTTTCATTACATTTACGTCATTTGCTTTTCCCCCCTAAGAACGGATGACGTGTTTAAGACGTCAAACCAAAAATTAAACTTTTAATATTTTATAAATAACATTCTTAAATTAAATGTACTGCCTTTACATAATACTCCAAGCAATCAAAAGTTATTCCGTTCCACATGCAAATATATTCTCAAATAACTCCGCACCCATGGGATTAATAATATTTCCATAGAAGCAAAAAGTTACTATATTTTAGGGTTGTAAAACTTGTAGATTGTAGATTTACAAATGAATACATTCCATATCATATCAGATAATACAAAAATAAAAATCTTGATTTGGTAGTAAAATTATCCACAATTTTCAAACAACAAAATTTGGCACCAAGGTTAAAGTGGTCACATAACAATAGGTGATGTGTTAGCATGTTTGCTTTTAATGATATAAAAATATAGATATATAGATGAGTTAATAACATAGACATATTATGTATAAATTGAGTATGTTTGAAATATTTAGTAGCTAATAGTTTCATAATTCTCATAGTAATTTATCAAATAAGCAATATATTTCTGTATCAAATCAAATTTGCTTTTATCACAGATTTAGTAAAATTTATAAGGCACTAGGTTGAAGAAATCTTACTAGCAATTAATGAACATAAGGAAGTACATTTTAATTTCACCTGCATAATAAATAATGAGAAATAATGTAACATGTTTATAACTAGAAATCTCATAACTGAACTGACAAGTACTTACCTAAGTTTATTTTATAATACTGTGCCACAGTTCTCAAGGCATCCATTTAAATTTTTATTAATTTTAAATTATACCATATTTAGACATACTAATCCACTATGACACAATCTTTGCATTAATAATTTTACTTTGGATGGACTCAATTCTGTAAAATTTTCAAAACAGTGATTATCATATTAATATAATTCACTCCTGACATTGTAAATATTGATTTCAGAAAGTTTTAAATTCACTTGTTTCTCATATGCATACTGTTGTTTCTTGTGTATGGGTTTTGTAAGATTCTTGGTGTTGTTTCCATAACTCGAAGCAACAATTCATCTAAATAATTTTCTAAATCTTTATTCTTCTTCTTTTCAGCTTCTGCATCTTTTTGCATGTTGTAGATCATGACAATTAAATCTTCTCTTGTCTTTCCATCAAACTGTTGCAAGACCGTCTTAGGAATGTTATTAAAGGCTGGATTGATAGCATCTTCTTCAACAATGTTCTCTTCACCAACAATAATTCGCTCCTCTAACAATTTCTTTGGTTTGTTATTGTTACCAAACTTTTTAAAGAACTTTGGGCTAGGCTTTTCTTTCAGAGAACTGGGACTATCCAGTTTCTTATTTCTTTCTAGACTTGATGACTTTTCTCTGTCAATAGTACTCTGGCTATTGGATTTTGGACGGGAATAAAGTTTTTGGGACCACTCATCATTTTTATCTATCACTTGAGCAGGCAGCTGCGGAGCTGTGAATGTGTCTAAACTCAAGCGGACAGGTTTTTGAGGTGCTAACTTATCAGGTACTGCTAAGTTACTGCTTGTTGATCTTCTTAAGAATTCTCCACCTCCTAGGTTTTCAAGGGAAGCATTAACTGGCGATGGAGTATATTTATGCCCTCTTGGTAGTGTGTGGACATTGAGTGAACTCCCAGAACTTTTATGGGACAGATCATCAAAAGCAAATTCATCTTCATCTTCACTAATTACACCAGGGTCTGCTTCCCCTGACAATCTTTTTGGTGTTGAATGGTCGGGCGTCAGCAAAGTCGGAGTTTTGAGATTCCCCACACTGCCATCAAGTGATAAAGTATCACTTTTCTTATCTTTCTTTGTCAGATTAATTTTGGAACCAAGATTCTTAGCGAATTTCTTGATACCTTTACGTTTTTCAATGCTTCCGATACTCATAAGGCTTCCGCCTACATTCTGAGCAATACTTGACAAAGATGATTTATGTTTTTCCTTTTTGCTAAGATCTGTCAGGCTTCCTTCTTTTACTGTAAAACCTATTTTAACTTCAAGCTCGCCTCTTTTTTTATCACTTTCTTTCCCAGTTTTACCTTGCAATGTATACCAGCGATTTCTTGGACGTTCATAGACATCGAGGTCTTTTAACGGAATCGATACTTGACCTAGTAAGTGATCCTTTACAAAATCCTCGTCGTAAACTTTCAAAACGATTTCAGCAGTGTTGCCGTGAGATGGAATACGTAGTTCACATTCTTCTAACCATTCGACGTTCTCAGTAGCTTTGTGTTTCACGGAAGTTTGAAACTTTTCTTTACCGAGGGCAATAGTAACAAAACAGTTATTAGTACCGTTTTTACCTTTAATTAATAATCCACGGGCTCTTTGGACTGTTACTTGCACATGTGTCGGATCCCACATTTTATTAAAAGAAATAGTAATAATAAAGCAATATTTTTGTTGATGGAATGTACAAAAAAACTACTGTTATACAAACGATGAGCTGTCGCAGTCAATAATCATAGACCGTCACCCGTCACCATTTGTTTGTTAAGTCCGTTCACCGTTCAGTCGCATCATTTGTCATTCTTACTCATAGACCATAGACTTAATGTCAACGTCAGGATTTTTTTAATTTTTACAGCTGTGGATTATTGCTCATTTTAGCAATGTCAAGTATTTTACTTTAAGTTGACAATTAGAAAGTTAAATTTAAATCGCGTTAAATGACCATTACAGGCGACCACAATCTATAAACAGTCCCAACACTTGGAACGGATGAGATAAGGAGGCGGAGAGTGGATTTAGCTTTACTGAACATTCTTCGACATTGCAATAAATGTAAGAGTAATCCACGCCATCATGCTGTGAGACCATGACATTTTCCCTTTTAAGTCTTAGCTGCTTGATTTAGATAAAATAACACGAAAATGTATGTATAGACTGTTCCATATTTACTGATTTTCTAATAGTTTCTTACATTATAGGAATAAAATAAAAACAGCAATTACACAATTTGTTAATGAAAATATTCTAAACTCAACGTTCGGTAGAATACACTCACATTATTCTCTAGTATTGTAAACAACACTACATGTAAAACTAAATTATTTCTAGTCGAGTTGAATCGTTTGTGGCTTCACTGTGATTCACCTAAAGTAGAGCGAATTTGCGAAATTTATTTGAATCGAAGGTTGTAATGTTCTAAAAGCTGCTAGCTTGTTTTATTTAAAATCGATAAAGACTTACTTCTTACAATGATTTGTTTTTATAATCAATTGTAAGATTTAAATGAAAATTTAGATAGTTCAAATCACCTGCTTAAGTGTTACTTGGTATATCTTAAACGATATTATTTTGTGTCGCATATTTTCATTATGCCAGGGCTGTTAATAATCTATTAGTGCTAAATTATAGTAATTATGTAATTCATATGTCTGTTACTAAACGTAAACAAAATGGAAGAATAAGTGTATTCCAAAATATCTACAAGTTTTGTAATTATGATATTTGCAATTAGTTTTATACAATTTAGGTCAAACTCCCACAAACGTTTACACATTCCCTACAATAGAACATCACTTTTTTGCTACAAATGTTCACAGTATTCATTTGATTATTGATCATAGCAATCAAAATGTTCTTTCTTTGTTGCTATCTCTCAGGCGCTGTAATTTCATCTTGTTGATGTGGAGTGCCGCACATGTTGCACAACATTTTGAATTCCTGCAATGAGTGAGACAATAACTCTTTTATAATATTAACAAAGAGTTTGAAAAAAAGTATTTGTTTAACAAAGATAAAGTTATATCCAGAATACGGTTTATATTTTTAACATTTTACTTACATGCAAATTAATATTTTTACGTTTATAATGCGTTTATATATTTACCAGATTATAAAATTCGCGTACTCGGTTCATGACGATTTGATGACATTTTGGATGCCAGGATACAGGGTTCATGTAATTGGCTGTTCTGGTCGCGATGTACTCTAGATCTTTAAGATTATCTGGTTCTGGTGGAGGTACAGTGCTGAAAGCTTTGTCTAAAGTATCACTGTCCAACGTATCAATTTCTTTTGGCAAATTAACCATGTCGCGGATGTTGCTCGCTTTAAGTCTTACTTCAAAATGACATTGTACATTCGATTTCGATTTGAAACAACTATTCAATTGTCTATGGAGGGGGAAATTTTTACCTGACTTCACCTATTGTTTAAAGTCTTTTATTCGATGAAAGTAGGCTTACCTTTTTGTCTCAAAAAATGTATTTATGAATATGAAATAAAGGGAATTTAGTTTAAATTACTTAATTTTATATATTGTACCTACTGTATAACTTCTGTTATTCTATTAAGGTAAGTCCGCTACCTCCCAAATACTTAAAAGGAATTAAAGAACTGATAGATTACTTGTGATATCTATAATACCATAATATCTACAAGAAAACAAAGTTGTCGAGATTATTATTGAACTTGTTTTTGTAGTGAGGAATAGTAACAAAACTTTTACACCTACAAGAAACAAGTCGCGAGTAAATTATACGGAACGTATAAAAGATGATTGGATTTTTCTTCGAAAGAGAATACATAAATTGTATTTTTATTTTTGAGGCTTTGTGGACTCTAGTTTTAAGAAAATAAACATACTAGTATAGTATTTGAACAATAAAATAAATATTCAAAAATAAGAGTTTATAAGCGTGTAAATATACATATTGTTATTTTAAGAGGTTATTTGCAAATCAATCAATAACTAAATAAATTATCATTGATAAAAAACAGTCATATTGCTTTTCCTACTTAAAGCCAGAAATGAAAAACGAAACCACAATAATATTCTTGCTAATTAAATAAACATGTGTAAAATCCATTCCATTTATTAATTCAAAGTTTAAGGTCCCATACATCACAAAGCGTCGGTAAGGTAAATGCTACTCACAAACAAACAGCAGACTCGTTATCTTTAATTACGTATAAGTCGGCGAAGGTTTCAATTGATGTTTTGACTTAATTGCTAATTACGGTTGTATATTAAATGTAAATATTTTTGTTTACAGAGATCTACAATATGTTGATGTTTCATCTCTATATGAAGCTCGAACAAGATTTCAAACGTCCTTGAAGTTAATCAATGCAAGTTTTTTTTATTTTTTTTTTGCTTAATAATGTTAAGTACATATACAAAAGAAGGAGGATGATGATGATATAAGCAAAAAAGTAATGAGATTGAATGTGGATGGCTACAACGGTAGGGGAAGACCAAAAAAAGTATGGAATGACTGTGTGAACGAGGATATGCGTAAGAAGGGGGTAGACTCGGATATGACGGCTGATAAAGATGTATGGAGGAGTAGTACATACTGTGCCGACCCTCGATAGGGATAAGGACAGGTTGATGATGACATATACAAAAGAAGGCATTCAACATTTTTTCAAATATCCAGAGATAAATATTATATATCTCTCTATATCTCTATATTTTCAAAATATAATTTACTAACTGTTGTTTTTTGAATACAGAATACAATTCCTTAATATCTGATTGTAACAGGTTTTAAAAGTTTAAAGGTACAAATAAATCACAATGTTTCAGGGTTGTAAAGTAATTCATGCGCCAATTAATAAACTACCCTAAAAGGCTTACCTAAGGCGTTGTTAATTTAGTAGGTTTACGACCTGCTATTCATAAATCCAGGTTATTACTTTTAAAAGATTTTACGGCCTTACTTTACTCTTAACCATGTTAATCGCTAAAGCTTTATTTAAAGTTCTATAAAAAGAACATCCCTAATTATTCTATTATTCTGAAACAATACAAAAGTCATTATGTGATGTTGGTTTGTAGCCGACTTCAAAAAGAAGGTTATCAATTTCTCTTGTACTCCCACTTTTAAAAGTCAACTGAATAAAAGGAAATGAATCAACTGACGGAAATTTGTGTGGTTTATGTCTAGTTTAATGGCATCCGGAAGATTTGAGGTTCATCTACAAAGTTGCAGTTTCTGCGAATCGCAAACGAAACAGAAAGAAGTGTGGAGAAGTGACGTCACAAAGCACTTGTTGAAGCGCGTCAAGTCTTTGTAAATCGTCAACTTTGATGTCGCACCTTTCGGTTTCATATTCGATACACGTTTTACGACCAAGTTACAAAGAGATGCATTTGAAACTTGCTATGTGATGTAAATGTACAGGGGGAAAATACGATGTTTCGTTTAGCAAGCGGAGAATACGTTTTAATAATCTCTACTTCATTTAAAATTCTATTTGTATTTGCGATATTTTAGTTAGTATGTTGAGTAGTGTTTGTATTATATTAATATTAAAAACATATCCAACATTGTTAAAGCAAATTGTTTTAATAAGTTAAACAATTAATAAAGAAATGTTTATTATAAAAGATCGCTAACACTCACTATCTTTGTCTAGTTATACATTATATATGGCACATAAGTAATTATATCTAAACTAACTTTTACATAAGTTAAAGTTATAAAGTCTCTGAAGCCGCTAACGCTCGGGGGCTAATAACTCATCCTGATTATGTGGGCCACTGCACTTTTCGCACAGAACCATAAAATTCTGGAAAAAAAAACTTTATTACAATTTCGATACCGCTACAAAACGTATACGTATTTATTTGATGATAGTATTGATATATGAAATGTTGTACGTAAGAAAGCTTTTATAAAGTGACCATTTGAATATTTTATTAATTATTACCACTCCTTACGTCGATATAGCGAAAAGACCGCTGCCCATAAACATCAACATTTGCAGATGCGTTGCCTACCTTAAATCGACATAGGAGGGGATGTACAGGAAAAAGATATATATCTCTACCTATGCGTCCTCTCCTCCGTCTAATCCCATGTTAATAAACAAAGTAATCCTTACCATATTATATTGTTGCCTTAATAAATCCATTACTTGTATGTAACTGTCCGGTGTATTTGTTCCATGTTTTTCCATAAGTCTTACTGATCGTCTAGCTAGTTTTTCTAATTGATGTAGTCCAGTGGGTTCATTTTGCCATTTCATTTCGTCACGACTTCGTCCCAATCTCATTCCCCAAGTGTGATGACTTCTCGTCCTTAATCTGTCTCTATCATTATCTCTTACATTTCTTAAAGATATCGCTGGTAAATTAACCATTGCGTTAGATTGAGATGGATATGAAGGAAAGATTAGATTAGATGGAGTTCTAAGCGAGTAATGGATACAAATAATTTGCTTACCAATATTTTATACCAAATCATTAATGACCGTGTTGTTAATAATTTAAATTGCAATAAACAAGTCATTACGCGGTACGAATTTTCTTTTGTTTTTGTTATTATGTATTTAATACTTTCTACTAATTAAGTGATACACATAATAAAAACAACATTATCTAAATTACATGTATAGGTTTTTTTTCTACGTATAATAACCAAAGACAATTTTTTTTGTTGACAAATAATAAAGAAGTTATGCCAATTAACGTTTTTATATTTTTAAATTTCCAAGTATTGAATAAATCCTTTTCAAATACGTGATATTAAAATCCTTTTATTATTGGTTGAAAAAAAAATCGTTATTCATTAGAGTCATTTTAAAGGGATTTTTGTTGTTTACTTACTCTCGACTTGTATAGTACAATAGTGTCAGGTTATTGTATAGACGGTAAATCGTAATACTAATTTGTTTAAAGAACATAAAAGAAAGCTTTTTTAGCCTAAGTTCTTTTTACAGTAAACGGAATGAATAATTTAAATGAGTCACAGTTACCAATTTTTTTGTAAATTGTTAATATCAAAATGCTCCTTGATATGTTTAGAGAAAAGGTTGTCATACATTCCAAAACATTTTCTAGACTCGCTTTGCTTACGTTTTAGTTGAATATTTTATACCACTACTGTGAGATTTTATGAAAAGGCTGAGTTTTTTCGTGAGTAGCAAAAAGTTTATGTGTTTTAAATTTCGAATTCAACTAAATTCTTCTTTAAAACGTACATTTTTTGGAACATGAAAACATTTAACAACAATATTTATTGTACAACATTACGTATCTTCCAAATTTTTATTCTTACAAATATTATAAATGCGAAATTAGATGGATGGAATTGTGGATGTGGATGATGATGGAATGGAATTAGGGATGATGAATGGCGCATATGTAGAACAGTGGAAAAACACATTCGGACGAATTCACGCGCGACAGCTAGTGTTACATAAAATTTCGGTGCTAGGTAACTTGTAAGATATAAAGAAATTGTCCGGTCCTAAAAGTAACAATAAAAAGTACTTTTCGTTAATATTCAGGCAAAGGTCGCTTACTTTTGATAAAATTGTCGCCTCGACGTAATAAAATTCACGCTCAAGGAGTTGCGTAACAATTTTCTATTTAATTTTTATCAGACTTTTTTCATAAATCAATTTGAATCGTCGCTTGAGCTATTACGATACCATTTAAAAAATTAAATTTACTTCTACAGTTATATTTCTATTAAGTGTATAATTACCGCGTTATTTTATTTTAATTGAATTGATACAAAACTGAGTCTAAAACGTAGTTGACGAGGTTGTAGTATACACTATTTTATTCAAAGTAATAAGCATCATGAGCGTTGGTGGCTTAGAGGTTAAGCACTTGACTTGTAATCTACAACTCCTAAGTTCATATCCCATCCATGTACCAATGTATTTTTTTATGATTTACATATGTACGTTCTTACGGTTATGGAAAATCTCGTGATGCAACCGGCACATATCTGCGAAGAAATTCAAAGGAGTCAACACGCAGCGTAGTTGACTATGACCTACTCATCCCTAACTTAGGGTAGACTTCGAGCCACTCAGTTGGGACGTATAGTGAGCTGATGATAATAATTATTATAAAATATTAACATAAAATAGCGCCGACTTTCAATTAAATTAAAAAAAATAATGTGATATACGGCACATCATTATCTCCAGACTGAAATCAGTAATATATTGTAAAATTAAAGGCATCCGGGCTGTGTGGGGGCACAGATGCTAAAAGCTTTTATCAGTTTTCAGTTTAATATCGGCTGATCAGACATTTCAGTGCGAGCTGAATCGAATTACTGCGCGTAATTGAATTGACTGTGACCAACGTAAACATACATCGACTTTATAAGCTTCTGACCTAGGATAGATATAAAATGAACAACTTTCCTTATAAAATTCATCATCATCATCATCAGCTCACCGTCCCCACCGAGGGGCTCGGAGCCTACCCTAAGTTAAGGGTGATTAGGCCATAGTCAACCACGCTGCCCAAGAGCAGGTTGGTTGACTTCACACATATCTTTGAATTTCTTATCAGATATGTGCAGGTTGCATCACGACGTTTTCCTTCACCGTAAGAAAATCGGATAAATGTACATATGTAAATCGGAAATCGAAAAACACATTGGTACATGGCGGGATTCGAACCCAGGACCTGCAGATTGCAAGTCAAGTGCTTGACCCCTTAGCCACCGACGCTCTTATAAAATTGAACCTTTTAAATTTACAGATATTCAAAGTTTTATTTGTTTTATTATGGATTACCGAAAAAACTAATTTCATATCGACCTCATAAATAAATCTATGCAACCTTAACCTTCTTCTTTAGATATTTTGTTAAATCGAAATGATATTTAATAGGAAAAAAAATTACAACGCAATAAACAAACTTTTGTGCCGCATCATATATAGAGTGGAATCCATTTCAGACTTCACAATAGAAGCGAAGTTTAAATGGATTTTACTCAATATGTGATGTTTCGATGCGCAGCGTTGGTTCTCTGCGGGTACACTTATTCTGATAACTTCTACATGTGATTTTTTAAAATTATAATACGCATATAAAAATAAAAGCAATGATGTTCATAAAACTGCGGATCTTTTGTTACTCGTGAGCTATATTTTTGCATAACTCATTAATAATATAATCAGAACCTATAATTTTAAAATATAATTTTAAAATTATAGGTTCTGAGCACCATATTTTAATTAAAATTTTCAAAATACCATGTTTTAGCATAAAGAGAAATCTTACTAATATTATGAATGTTTGGATGGATGTTTGTTTGAAGGTATCTCTGGAACGGAAACATGGATCTTGCTGAAATTCAGCATATATGTAGAACACAATCTGTAAGAACACATAGGCTACTTATTAGGTTTTTTTTTAAATCCGCATGGACGGAGTCGCGGGCGACAGCTATATATAATACTTTTGGTTATATTCATATTTTGTTAGACAAGAAATTTAATATTAATAGAATAAGCAATCAATGTGATTGATGAATGTTTCTATGGTTATACTACTATCGGAAGACTACAAAGCATGTTTTCATCTCTCTCATACACTTTGGAAATATAGAGATAACAATATGTCGATGGATGTGTCGTCAGTGGAAACTTACGGTTTGATGTAACAACGCGCCTACAACGGCTGCGGTTCCGTCTGTGAATCGCTAACATCCTCCATGCATAAGTGAAATGTTTCACTGTTCCCTATCAATTGATTTCCACTGTTGCCTTTCTCCTATATACCGCTCTTGTTACTCCTAGTTGATAATTTATAACACAGCATTGTTATATTCCAGTCTATTATTAATGTTAGTTTCCTACAAAAATTGTATGAAATATTGAAATGATATAAAAAGCTTTTTATAGACTATTAGCTGTCGCACGCTAAATCGTCCCAACGGAATAAAAAAAAACATAATTAGTAGCAAATGTGTTTTCACAGACTATGTTCTATTCTTCTTCTTCTTTGTCGTTGCAGTCTTGTCAGACTGGTCGTGGTCTATGTTCTATATCTATAGCAAATTTCAGCGATATACATGTAGTCGTTCTGAAGACAGCTTCTAACAAAATCTATTCATCAATCTTGACTTTCTCGTTTATAATATAAGATTAGTAAGATTATTGACTATTTGATATTCATGACATGACATTATCTTATCTTATATCTTTAAATGAGCAATTCTTGTATATATAATTGGAATCTCGGAATCGGCTCCAACGATTTTCATATAATTTAGTATATAGGGGGTTTCGGGGGCGATAAAAAATTCTAGCTAGGAATCATTTTTAGATAATATCATTTTATTCGTGTTTTATCGATAATGCACTTAAACATAAACGTAACTTTTTCTATCGGTTAGATCGAAAAATATTATTCATATTTCATCATTTTATTAGTAATTCGTACTTAACTATAATTTCCAAAAAACAGAATTAAAAAAAAAAAATACCGAGCAAAGCTCGGTCATCCAGGTATTAAGTTTAATATAAGTATGACCATTACATAGGAAATCGTAGCGATTCTAGATAATGTATCGTAAATCGTATGAAAAGTTTGAATTGTGTTTTCAAGTCTCATTACAAAAGAAATAAACATAGAGTGAAGAAAACCAATGACAGTGTAATGTTCTTTTCCAAATCTTATTATCGGACAAAGTTTTCCGAATAGTTACATTGTTATGTTTATCTCATGTCTTTGGGAACTAGCATTAGCTGTTATTGCTTGTAATTATTTTTATGTAATTGCGTTGTAAATTTACGTTAGACGTTTTGTTTTTAATAACAACGAAAAGAAAAAAGTTGTATCTGTGAAACATTTTAAACGAGTTCCGTTTAAACAGTAAACTCAAACTTAATTAAAATTGATCAAACATTTGCCTTCAGAGATTTGTATTAAGACAAAAACGTCTTCGTTTTTTAGACAGTTCATTTTATTATATGTAAGACATCAGAAAGATTTATTATTTACGAACCATTTACTTATTACTTAATAACAATTTATAAATTCTATAGGAAGTTATGATAAAAAGTAAAAGCAACGGTTAAGGATTTAAATAAATTTGTATATAATATCCTTTTTATAATAAACACTATGGAGGTATATGTCCGGTCCCTAGCACAGCTCAGAGCAAAGTCAGAAGTGATAATGATAAAAATTTCAGGGGGTCGGGCGTTTTTACCCTATACCATAAACAATCTTTTATCATAAACAATAGAAGTCATAGATAATTTTTTGTATAGATTGTAAATTTAAATAATTCCAACAAATTCCTATAAGCTGTTACGAACGCACTTTTTTAAACATAAAATAAACCTATACAAGTTGATCGTCTTAAATATTTATAGGGTCGATGTCCTTACAAAGACTTTACACGTAGAATATTGAGATACTATAC